ATGGCATCAGACAGCAAGAGATGGGTAAAACTGGGGCGGGTGGTTTGGGTTTTGCAAAATCTCATCAGCTGTGTCTCAGATTTGCAAGGGCAAAACAAGGGCCTGTTTGAAACCAGGTCTCATTTATCAGAACCTTAAAGAGATGCTGGATGGCTGGTGCATCTCTCCAAGTCAGCCAATAAGACAGGACAGGTGCCCATCAGAGTCTTTATCAGAGCTGGACCAAAAGCCCCTTCTCTTTGAGTGCCTGACCCTGCAAGGTCTGAGCAGGATTGGGCCTTAAGAAGGTGCCACCATTGTTCTGTGGAGGCCTGCCTGCATGCTGCAGTACCAGTCAGACCAGGCCCTTGAGTGCTTCCAGTCCTCAGCATCCTCTAACCCTTATAACACACACCTAAAGTAAGTTGAAGCATTTATGGTCATTGCCTATGGTCACAATGTGAGCCACTGGCAGAGCCTGGAATTACAGCCCAGATTCCCAGTTCCCTGCTCTTTCCACCGGACCACACTGCTTCCCCATCCCGCCCCACACCACTCATCGCTTCCCCCATCATCAAAGGGCTGCATGTGGGGGTCGTAACAAGCTTCCCATCAACGTCAGTGGGATGAGTCATGGAGCTGAGACCCCGCACGACACACGGAGGTAATCAGGGCTCAGTCTCCTGCACCGCACCCAGTTTGCATCCTTGTGTGCCTTCCACAGCTGGCAACCATGTGTGATGGGACAACAGCAGTGGTCTTCAGAGCCACAGGGTGTGTACCCGTGGGAGGACAGGGGATTCAGGCACAAGGGATGCACTGTAATGCTTGTGTTTTCCCTTGTTTAGCCAATCAGGCAGTGAGTGCACTTGTACTCAGAGACAGGTCCTCTCTAAATGCCACCAGGAAATAAAGAAATGCCAGAGCACTTGTGCATTTTCCTCAGATACTCTCTGCTCTCCAGCTGCTCTGAGGATGGTACTTACCAGGAAGCAGGTTTCATCCTGGCTCACCATCCTGCTGGAGGGAGATGGGAACAAGAGGCTCACAGGGAGGGCTGCAATTCAATTACCAGAATATTAATCTGTTTATTTATAGTTTCAGAGAGAGAGAGAGAAAAGAAACCAATGTGGAAAACTGGGAGCCAAGTTGTTCTTAGCCTATAATTAGGCTGAGGTAGGTGTTGTAAGCCTGACGTCTACCGAGGGGAAAGCTTTGGGCCGGGGTGGGCTGGGGTTTTAATTATTCTCCTCGAGCAGACAAGTGCTGAAACCACATCTCTGCTGTCAGGAGTAAAGCAGAAGTGGGTGGTGTTAGTGATTGAGTTTTCCAGCACTTTTGGCTCTGAGCCATCTGGCTTGCTTGGGCTTAGTCCCTGTAAGCCTGAGCAGACCACAAATGAGTGTCCCTGGGACAGGTGGCCGGGCCACCATGGTATAAATGGGAACAAAGGTATTTGAAGACTGAACAAGCTGTGGCTAAGTATTGAGCTTGCAGGCTGCTCCCCTCTCAGAACTTAGCCAGGCTCACAGCCACATCCTTCCCCCTGGCTTCCGCAAATCAACAAGTTGCAGTATGGAAGCAGTTGAATAGAGGAATGTGAAAATGACACTGAGAAGCAGTATGATCCAGTGGTTAGGGCACTGGCTTGGGGCTCAGGCCTCCTCAAGCAAGTCTCTGCACCTCTGTGTCCTTTCCCACCCTTTGGGCACATCTTCACCGCAGCAGCGCTTTAACGTGGCTTGTGTAGTCGCGGCAGAGCGCTGGGAGAGAGCTCTCCCGGTGCTCTAAAAAACCCACCTCCGTGAGGGGAACAGCTCCCAGCGCTGGGGCACGGTCTACACTGGCACTTTACCGCGCTGAAACTTGCAGCGCTCAGGGGTGTGTTTTTTCACACACCCCTTTGTCTGTCTTGTAATCTGTTCAGGCCGGGGATGGTCTCTGGCTATATGCATGTATACAGCATCTAGCACAGAGGAGGCTCTGACCTTGACTGGGGCCCTTTGGTGCTAATGTAAATGAAATAAAGAAAGTGGGGCAGATTCAGGCAATCTGTATTTTATATTGCAGTGAGTTTGGGCAGGAGGTGTCTGTAGACTCTGCCCTGACCAACGCTGCCTCCCAAAGCTGTGGGAATTTCTTGGTGGATGTACAATGGCTGCTTGGCTCTGTTTGCCTAGAAAATTTGTTCTCAGGGCCTAATCCAGAGCTGTTGTATTTCCGTTGAAATCTTTCTGTCACTGACTCGGTATTTCTGGACACACCCAGGGGACTGGGAGTCAGGACGCCCGGCTTCCTTTCCCAGCTCTTCCACTGACTTGCTGAGTGACTTTGGAAAGTCACTTCAGGTCTGCATGTCTCAGTGCCTCTCTAGAGAATGAGGATAACACTCCCCTGCCTCCCAGGAGGTTGTGAGGTTAATTAATGGATGGCAGTGGAAGTCCTGTGACTCTCGGTGCAAAGGCACTCAGGGACTGAACACTAGGATTGTGCATGCAAAAGGAAATAGACTTTTGTGCCAAATCAGCCACTGCGGATCAATTAACGACAAAGTGCTTAGCCTGAAAACATGAAAGTGACTTAGGGCAGATAAGCCTGTCTCAAACTGAGAGCCCTGGCTCTCACTTGGCTCTGTGTCCGCAGTTGGGTCTGAGCCAAGGAAAAGCCCAGCCAATGAGACTATTCTGGCAACACCTCTCAATAATCAGTCACCAATGACCTTGCAATGCATATCATTTCCTGGAACAGATGCATCCCTGCTCTGCCCCTGGGACTGTCCCCATGCAGACGTGGAGTTCCAGCTCTCATGCTGGCATAGCTGTTAGAGACATGCAGTGCAAATACTCTCTCTTTCGCAGAGTACAGTGGATACAGAATCTCAGCAAGCCTGGCTGGGTTTGCGGGCTGGTTCTCTGAAGGAAGCCAGAATCTCTCAGTTCAGCTGTCCCTTGATTACTGTCAAGTCATCTGGTTTAGGTACCTAATAACAACAGACACACACTGTTAATTTCTATAGCAGTTTAGATGCTGATGCTGCCTTCGTGCCAGTTTGCTGGCGTTTATCTTGCGACTTGTCCCTCAGGCCAGGCTGTATCGTCCTCTTAGCTGGAGAGTACTTGAACAATCAGAACTGACAGTGGCTTCCCCATGAGAAAAGCACCCGTTTCCATTGCAGCCAGGGGCAGGAGCGCTTTATTTGTCCACTAATTTCCCCACATCCTGTCCTGCTGCAAAACAAACTGAACGACATGCCATCCTCTGGGCTGTCTCGCTTACTAATTGGATTCCTGGAGCAGGGCAGGGTGTAGCTCTGAGATTCAGATGGCAAAGACACTATCAGCTCCACAGATGGATTTTCAGCAGAGCGAAGAGCAGGGGAATTATTTGTGGCTGGGTGAAGTTGTTTACACTCTCTGTGAACAATAACATAACAATGGGAATGTCTTCTCCTAGAAACATTATGAAATTGATTGAGGAAGCCAGGAGACGCAGTGGATTAATGCATTAACCCCTTCCTTTCCAAGAACCCTGGATCATCCATGAGTTTGCTGGGTCTCCTTTATGGAGCAGGCAATTGGGGGGCATGTAACCACACCAGAGAAATCACTGCCTGACTCAGTGTCAATGGCAGGCGCTCTTCAAGGGGATTCCAAGCAGGAGGCACTGCAGGTCAGAATTGAGGTCCATGAGCAATGTTATCTGTGCATATGTGTTGAAGGGTAGAACTGCCGGGGATGCTGTAGGTCAGGATCGAGGGGTATGGAAAGGACTCTATGTGTGTGAGATTTAGGGGAGATTTAAGAGTGGAATAGTGGGGTGAGGAAGATCAGGACTGAGGTGTGTCAGCAGAATTGTACATGAGCTCAGGACTGAGGTACAACGGAAACTGTTTGTGCAGCTCCTGGCTACATCACATCTGATGCTTCTGCCTCTACCTGTCCATCCCACTCATGACCACCATCAAAAGAGTAAATACACCCAAATCAGGTCAGGGCCAAATATGCGCCATGTGTTGCCATCTACCCCCCAGGCAGTGTGAGTGATAAGTGAGTCCATAGCACACTGTGCACTTGATTATTCTCTCACTCACAATGTTTTTACGCCTGTGTGACTCCATTGACTTTGGTGGAGTTACTCCTTATTTACACTGGGGAGTCCCAGACCAGTGCCTTAACCACAAGTCAAGATAAGTCTTGCTTATCTCACTCCTCCCTTGTTCCTAAGTGAACCACATCCTTCTAATCCAAAGCATGAAGATGGTGCCTTGGATTGAGAACAACAGCATCAGAACTGCAGGCCTTTCCACTCCACCCAGGTCTCAGCCTCCATCTCCTTACATGGAGACCTGTGTGTTTTGTCTAGTGCTAATGAGCTGGGTTGTAATAGCTCTAATGTCATTTTAAAATTAAATTAGCAAGTGTGGCTTTGCACAGACCATGGGCGTGTGTTTGCGTGGCGATAGTAACGCACTGGGAAGGAGGACGCCTTGGGTGCACAGATGAAACCTGCAAAGCTTCTCCGTCAGCCGCGGCTGCTGTGCTGGCTGGCATCTCCCCAAGGGGAGAGTTTGCCTATGCATCACAAATTTGCTTTTTGGTTTCCCTTCCACCCATCCCTGAGCTGGGTTCTCTGCCAGCTTGGCTTCTCTATAAATCAAAGGGAAATATTCTCCCTCTTCTGTTTTTTTCTTTTCCTGAACAGATTGGATGTCATTATGTGCAGCTGAGCTTGCTGAAGCTTGTGCGGTGGGGAGGTGGAAAGAGACAGTTTTAGGGGGGAAAATACTTGCAGGCCATCGGAGGGGAAAACAGCTCCTAACTACATGAACTTTGTAGCACTTCGTATGCACTCTGATTTACTGGGGAAATCCACAAAGCAAGAATATTTAAAATAAAAGGAGAAACAGCAAAAAGACTGGAGGAGAAAGGAAAATCAGATGCAACTTCCCCCCTTCTTTGGACCAAACAGACAGGGAGCCCCTCTGCCCTTTCTGAGCACCATGCAGTCAGGCAAGTGTGGTCCTGACTGTCAGGGCCCTTCTGAAAGCCAGATCCAAAGTGTTTAGCCTTGGGGGTAGCCAGGGAGAGCACAGCCCATGTGCTACCTGTTCTTCTGCCTTATGCAGAAGGATTCAGAGCTCATCTGCTAGGAAGTGAAGACACCCCCACCCCCGCCAAATTATATGCTGTGCAGTGCAGACAGTCTCTGTTCAGTGTTGGGGGATAACTAGGCTGGATTAAGAGAGAGAAAGAGAGAGAGGGGAAGGGAGGGGAGCCAGCCAAATGCATGGCATTCAAGAGAAGCAGCTTTCAAAGGCTTTGGCTGGGATGCAGATTTGCAGACACTGTGGACCCATAATTCCCTGGCACACAAAGCTTGCTGGAGGCATCAATGCACCCAAGATGCAGAATAAACAGCAGATAACAGAAATGATCCTGTGAATTAAAATGAAGACGAGGGGAAGAACTGCACTCCCAGGCTGCAGGTGACCTCATCATGGAAGGTGAGCCCCAACGGGGCAGGTCTGTGTCCAGTAGTTCTGAAATAACATGGGTACCCCTCAATAAGGGGCGTGTGTGTGTGTGGGGGGGGGGGCGGGGGATAGCTGCCTTGCCTGTCTAGTGAATAGAAATAGGGGATGACTGCTCATCTGCTTTGTACCCCAAGTCTTCGTCCAGAACTAACTGCCCCTGAGTCTTTTTATTGTAACCATCTGTATTAGAACATCACCTAGACTGCCCAGCGGAGAGCAGGGGCCAACTTTCCAAAGGGCCAGGGGTGCTTGACCCCTGGCTCTGCCCCCGACCCTGCCCCCACCCCACCTCTTCCTGCCCCCTCCCCCAAGTGTGCCACGTCCTTGCTCCTTCCCCCTTTCCCCCAGCCTCCTGCACGCCACAAAATAGCTGATCAAGGCAGACGGGAGGTGCAGGAAGGGAGGGGGAGTCGCTGAGATCTGTGGGCCCCGCCGGCGGGAGGGAGGCGCTGGGGGGGCGCTGATAGGGGGGTTGCTGGGGGGTGCTCAGCACCCACCATTTTTTCCTCGTGTGTGCTCCAGCCCCGGAGCACGCATGGAGTTGGTACCTATGCAGGGCCCCATTGTGCTAGGCTATGTACAGACACCTAGTAACAGACAGTCCTAGCTCCAAAGAGCCTGCTTTCCAGAGACAAGTCAGAAAGAAAGGAAGGGTTATTATCCTCATTTTACAGATGGAGAGACAAGGCACCAAGAGGTTAAGGTCCAGATCCTCAAACGTATTTAGGTGCCTAACTCCTGTTTGACTTCAGTGGGAGTTAGGCACCTAAATACCTTTGAGCATCTGGACTTAAGTAACATACCCAGGGTCACACAGGGAGTCTGTGGCTGAGCCAGGAATTGAATCCAGATCTCCTGAGTTCCAGTCCCGTGCTGTAATCAGTGCTATAACTTCCTTTACTGGAGGTGCAACCCTAGTACTCCCTTCTGCTTCTGATCCAGCGGTTTGTTTTAGATTCATCGCCAGTTTATAATCATCCTTAACTTTATTAGCTTGCTATGTCAACAAAGCGCTTCCTGTAGGCTAACGAAAAACAGTGCAGGTGTTATTGTCTCCCTTTTACAGAAGTGGAAAGTGAGGCAGACGGTGGCGGGATTCTCCCCACAGTTGCAGAGGGAGTCAGTGGCAGAGCGGGGGGAGGACAGATTCTTACACCTGCGTGAAGTGTGTGGAACCTGCTGCCAAATCACCATTCTCCACCCATCAACACCAGTAGTAGCATTTGACACCTTTTTGCAAATGGCTCCTGAGGGTGCAGTACAATGGAGAATCAAGGCCAAAGTGCAGCATCACGAGGACCCACTTTGTACAAGAGAAAGTGACAATACAGGTGCCCAGGGCTGGATAATAGGTCAACAAAGCCCTGGGTTATGGCCCATCAGATTACATCGCTGTCCATTCAGCTCCAATCCCCAGAATAAAACCATATTGATTTATTGGCCCTCCAAAAGAGCCGCAAAATCCCCCAAGATTTCCCACAAAATCCAAATTAATAGGTGGAAAAATTCTGAAGTGTTTAGAAGAGAGGACTTCCCAGAGCAGTGAAACTACTTTCCCTTTTTTAAAGCAATGTTGTTTTGGAGGTGCTGGCTGTGGAAAATGCCATTACTCAGAGAGGAAAACATGGGTGATGCCGGGGGACAGAAAGGCTGAGTGGAGCCGGTCTTTCTAGCAAAAGGCAAACTGCCCTGCGCACGAGATGCCGTTTCACTCAGGAGGCCACTAACGCTGTAACATGACATGCTGCCACCTGTTGCTGGAATCGGAGAGTGAGTCCATGGGATGTGCTGATGTTATTTTTGTTCTCCACCATGCTGGGGCTCAGGATAAATCAAGGAAGCGCATGCACACATCGCCCGCCAATTCTTAATGCCAAAGGGAGCTTTTGCTAGAGAGCGTTTTTTTCCCTTTCGCAGTGCTGTTCATGAAATGCAGTTTTATTTGGTAGGCCATTTTATTAATACAGACTCTTCTCAATCTGGCCAATTTGCACTGCTCAGGAGGTTGCAGGGGATTCCTCTGACAGAGGTGAATCCCTGGGGGGAGTTAAGCTGCTATAACTGGCTCTGTGCGACCTACTCCCAGCCCTTCCCCTCTAGCAGGAGAATGATGGGAGTGGGTCAGACGTGGGAGGGAGTGTGGCAGGGGCATTGTGCTCTAGTGATCCCCAGCTAGCAGAATGGTCCTGAGGGGACTGTAAATACCGGCAGAATTTAGAGCAGATTTAGGTTGGATTGTTCCCTCGCCACTCCATGATCAATGCCACCTTTTGCCCTCACTCGGGTCCTGGAGTGAGTGTGACACAGCCAGTCTAGAGGATCTGGCTCAGCCCTTTCTCATTTCGATATAACATCTGTCCTCTCAAGGGAACCCAAAGCACGTTACAAGCCATTGCCAGATTCTGGGAAGTGGAAGCAAAGTGGGATAACCTTCCTCACCGTGGACACATCTGTACATAGCACAAATTTTCTCTGCAATCTACTAGGACTGGGAATAAATCTGTGTGGGATGCTGTACTAAACCAGCATGGCTCAAGGAACACTCATTAATGACCTAGCAGACTGTGTGCCCTTATCTCATGGCCATGTCCTATTAAACCTCTCCATAGCTGCGGAGGGCCTGGAAAGAGGCAAATTATGTTGCAAAGAGAACAGAATCAGGACTGCCAATTTCCAATCTGGTCTCCCACTGCTGGAGACAGGTGCACCATGGGGCGTCACCAGCCAGAATATGGCCCTGCTCACCCCCCACCCCACCCCCACAAATGCAGCCACCTCTGGGGCAAAAGAGAGCAATTTTTTACAAAGCACACAGCAACTCTGTTCAGTTCTTTAGGACAGGAAATGAGGAAGAATAACAAACCCAAATGGGAACGTAAAAGGAAAGCTCAAAGCAGTTATTACAAGCGTTAAGCAATAAGCATTTGTGATTGTACGTTTTACATTATAGAGATATGCTACTGGAGCTGGAGGAGAAAATCATTCTAAACCACAGTTCTCACCTGTTCTGCACAGAATGGAAACAGTCTAGCTATAAAAGGGGCCTTGATTCCTTCAGAAAATGACCGTACATGTACACTGGAAGGAGAGTTGCAAATCTGTCCCAGGGGCATTAAAAATAGCCAGAGATCATGTACCACCAAGCAACAGTAATTCGCTGCTACCAAAATAGTTTACAGTATTTTAAAAAAGCTTAATCTAGAGATAGTTGGCAGCACAAATCTTTCTGGTGCCAAGCGAAAAATAATTTGCATCTTTAGTGTCAATGGTAATACTACCATGTTGCCTTAACGCTCGGGGAGATGCCGCCGGCTCCACATTTGCTTTCAGAAGCAAAGTCTCCCAGGAAATGGAAAACAACATGGGGAGAAAAAAAGATCGCCTTCACAGCTGCATGAGTAATGAATCCGACAGCAGCAGATGATGAATCATTCTGCAGTTTAGGCGTTTTTCAGATGAAACACAATCCAGGTGTTTTGTTGTTGCTGTTTTTTAATTTCCCAATGCTCTAACCAGACGTGAAAGCGTTAAGTTTCCAAGAGGCTGGTTGCCTTGGCACTATGCTCTCAGCTGCGATCAGAGACGCCCAAAGAAAACCAGGATTTAGGTTCTTTTTTTTTTTAAATATTCCCCACAGTAAATGTGTAATTAATTAGCCTTCCCCTCCCCCCAACTGAGCTGAGATTCACATAATCAGACCCTTGGGGACTCCCCCTTTTCTTCCTATCAAAGTCAGACAGTGACTAGGAACTGAATTATTCATTCAGCTGTAGGTGTAACACATCCACTTAAGGATTTAAAGTTGGAGCAGCCTGGCTGGTGTTTATCAGGAGAAAAGTTTAATGGAGAGAGGCGAGGACAATAAATAACGAGGAATTTGGAAAGTTCCCTTTTCTACCCTAAATAGCAGGTTTGATCAGATCTATCAGTTATTTCTGACATCCACTCTTTCCCCATTGATTGCATTGGTTTGGTGAACCTGATGTCAAAGATCTACTTCTGTGTATGGGAAAGGTGGCTTGGGTATTTTGTACATACAGATACACACAAGCTCACACACAAGTCTATGACAACTAGGACTTTATGGTTGTAAGCAGGCAGATTGAAACTGGAGAGGGTGTTCTCCTCACACCAACTATAGAGTCAGGAGAGCACTGCCTACCCAAGCCAGGGAGAGGAGCGGAGGTCCCCTTCTCTTTAACCCCTTATTGTAACTACACTGCATGCTTCAGCCACTCACAATCTCAGGGAAAAAGCAGAAACAGAACTCAGATCATTCTACCGAGGAGCACAGGACCCTACAACTTGATCCAAAGGAGAATCTCAGTTTGCTGCTCGCAGTACAGAACTTATGACATGTGGCTGTACAATCCCTCCAGTCGAGGGCAGTGGCCCTTACGCACATGAACCGGTATGTTATTGTCATTTCTGTCTATGCATCAGTCTGCCTTCTCCACCTCAAGAGGGAAATACACATTGCAAGATTAAAGACTTTAGACCAGGTACTATCCTGATAGCCATATTTTCTGAAGGGGACTTCCATTCCTGGGTGGGATAGTAATGATATACTTGACTCAAAGGAAGATGCATGAAGGTGCCATTCAAATATCTGCAGAACTATTGTGTAATCTACTGACTGTTAAACCTTGATCCACAAATAGTTCAGAGTTCAGGTTTGGTCCAGATACAGCCCCTGCTATAGGTAGCAAGACTGTCCCAGCCTGCTGGTGGGTATTGGAAGCTACAATTTAATCACTGCTGACTCATTAGGGCAGGTATGGTTTGTTAAACTGCCCCCTGTTCCATCCTCTGTGGGGTGGGGTTGGAACTAGCTCTCTAGAAAGGAAGCCAGGGCTAAGAGAGGTGGTAGCAGAGGTGTGTCCACACTAGGAAACAGATGTGTGTGGGGTTAACCACATGTTGGTGAACACATGGTAAAATCCTTGTGTGGGTGAGGCAACAGTAGTTTTCACACAAGCTGGCAGGCTGAAATAAATAGGGGAGAGCCTAGGTTTATCTCAGCCTACTAATACTCGTAAAAACTACAAACTTTAAGCCAGTAGTTCTCAACCTGCAGGCCACTTGTGGCCCAATCAGCACACAGCTGTGGCCCACATGACATCCTCAGGTGCTGCCCACATAACACATGGAGAGCTGCATACGCGGCCCACAATGGTAAATAGGATGAGAACCGCTGCTTTAGACTTTTGCCACATTATCTAACGTGGTAAGAACACCCACTTTTTCTGGATGAAGACAAGGCTGAAGAGAGGAATCCTAACATGAAAAACCTGAGGAGAAAGCCTAGGCTGGAGATTCTCTTCAGTTTAATCCCAGGCAGGGGATAACCTTTAATCTTGCACAAAGCATGTGTAGTGTTTTGTTGGAGGATAGGGATTTCACACCAATGCATATCCCTTCCCCAACTACCTGGAATGTTTATCTGAAGCTAGAGCTGTACCTAGGGGTGTGGGGCCTGGGGCGGAAGTGACAGATTTGTCTCTTACAGGACTGACGGCACTGGCCAATCCTACCAGCTCGTGGGGCCCCACAAAGTGCAGGACCTTGCGTGGTCACCCAGATTCACCCTACCCAAGGGACAGCTCTGTGTGAAGCTCATAAGCACCATCATTAGTCCAGCAAACTGAGCTGGAAGTCTGGTAGGAATGAAATTTCTTTGAGATTCCTAGTTATGGCTCCTTCCAGTATGACTAGAATGTTTACAAAGAGTCTTTCTGGTAATATCTGAGTACTTCTACTTCCTGGAGAGGACCTGACCATGCAGAGGGCCCTGAAACTAAAGGTGGACACAACTCTGCGTCCGAGACTTCCCAAAAGTTTGATATGGGGTTTTGGTTCAGGCTTAACTCCACCAGAAATGAGAAATAATATGTGGAGAAGAGGAGCTTCTTTTGAACCTCATAAAAGATTTTGTACAGGGTTGGGGTTATTCTCATGACTTGGTTGGCCTGACTCATCATTTTTAAACAAAGGAGGCTGGTTACACTGGGCTTGTACGGGACTCACAGCTTGAAATGCATCTGCCTGAAAAATTTTTGAATAAAGGAGAAGTTAATAAGAAATGTATGGCAGGATTCTCCCTCCTACTGTGGCAGCAAAAAGGGGCTGTAACAGACTGATCCAGCTGGGGGTGAACTGCTGTGGGTCAAGAACTGAGTATGAAGACCGCAGCCTATCTTACAAGCACCCCCTGGAAGCTAGTGCATGAAGGAACAGGAGCGAGCAGTAGCAGGTGTCACTGCAGCAATTGTACACATCTCATTTTGGGCTGCCATAACTTAGGCAGTCCCTCAGGGCCATCTAAGTGCATCCTCTGGGTTCTCGGATGCAAAATGGCTCCTGGCATAAAAGGTGGCTTCAGCCACCATACTCCTCCCTCTACCTGAGCTGCAGGGTGGTGCATAGTTTGTTTACAACAATTCAGCCAATAAACTATGTTACTGATTATGTGCCCAGCATTATTCAGCATCATCTTGTGCTTTCAAGGCCAAGTAAGCTCTTCCCATCGTTAAGACTCAACCCTGCTATCTGATTGCAGGATCTGGGTGTTTATACCTACAATTCCATGATTCTCTAGCGATCTGGAATTGAGTGGCATCGTCTGTTCTCTGGCGCCGAAGAGCCCCTCTTCCCTGGAGTTGAGTTTCCCTGTTAGTTTTCTCTCTATGAAATGCTCCATCAAAGGACTGTCATAACAAACTGTTTGCCAATTTGAAACCCAACAGTTTGTCTGGTGTAAGTGTTAAAAATGTCGTCTTGGCAGTTTTCTTGCATTCAGCAATTTAATTTTTTTTTCCTATTTGCTTCTACAGTATGTACGGCAAACTGGATCATTTTAGTAATCACACCTGCTTTTCCCCCTTTAAAATAAAAAAAAATCACTTAAAACCTAAGAGTTTATGAAGTAACCAGTGTGTCTCAAAGGGTGACAATATACCTTACAAACAACACAAATCCTGCAAAAAGAAGCATCACCATGCCTCTCCAAAAACCTGTGTTAACTGGTGACAGAATGAAGAAGTAAATTGTTTTAGAGTGTTAATTAAAAAAAACACTTGCAAAATACACACTTAGGTTTTGTTTACCGGAGATTAAAGGCTTGAGCCTATGGTCATTAAGTCAATAACAAAGCTTCCCTTGGCTTTCATGGTGCAGGATCAGGGCCTCAGTGATGGATTAGTTAGTATTTTTAAATCGTCTTTCACCTATTTTACCCTTTCACACAGTTACCAATGAGAGATACCTTGCTTGCCCAATGATCTAAATTGGGAAATCACTGATAACATTAATTATTCTTATTATTAATATTAATAAATTAATTAACAACACTTCGCACTTCTCTAGCTCCTTTCAGCCAAGGATGTTAAATCACTTTACACTCATTAATTAATTATTTTAACTTTACAGCCCACCCAAGAGGTAAGTATTTGTATGCCCATTCTAATCTCACAGTCTCTAAAAGGGACTCTCTCATTTTCATTTAGGGTCCCCATCATTCCTTTGAGTGGTCCAGAATTTTGATCTTTAGAGCACCAAGTCATTTTGGTCAGGCAGTGGTTTGACTATAGAGCATTACCAGGAGAGAATTTTTCCTTAGAGTGGGCTTGGATGGCACTGGAAGGGGTTATTTCTGTTCTGTGCTGTGGGTAGTTCAGTGTAATGCAGTGTTTGTTTTTAGTGTGTGTCACACACTCAGAAACCACAGGGATTGATGCATACAAACTTCATATTTTTTTAAATTAAAAAAAAAAAAGTACAGATGGGTAAACTGAAGCAAACAGGCAAAGTGACTTCTCAAGATGCAGCATAAAATCAGTGACAGAACTGGGAAAAGAATCCAGAAGTCCTGCCCTAACCACTAGAAACACCCCCTGGGAGAACTAGAACCTGGGAGTCCTGATTCTCAGGACTACACTTTGAGCACTAGGTACACTGTCTCTTTTTGATGTTCTGATTATTTCCCTCCTTAAACAGAATTTACATAATATAGAAATAACAAACAAATGAACAAAAACATAATGAAAAATCCCAAGAAAACAGAAAATTTGAAGAGGCAATTCCCATAACTCATAAAGCAAACTGCAGCTTGAGGATTACATTCTTAAACTGAAAGTTAAAATTATCATGGAACTCACAGCTAGTTCAGAGAGAATATCGTGTGGGCTACTGTGATAAAACAGGAGCAATTCAGAGCTAATAATAACCAGCACACAATCTCAGTTAATAAAGAAGGAAGAAGGCCTGGATGGATTACCTCTGGCAAGATTCTGAGTTTCACAGCACCCAAGAGCAGACATCCACACATGAAGATAAGCCAGGAGAACTTGATGGCAGCGGTTACTATTTCCATTAGTATTAAGGAGGGTTCAGATAAAACAAAAGCCCAGAAACCCAGTCCCTTTCTAGAACTGAGCTCAAAATGAATTCTCTTATTAATGTTCAACAGAAGTGCTGGGAATATCCCAGATGAACAACAGAGACCGTGAGCACCATTCAAATTCCACTTTCACTGCCCCATGTACCAGGAATAACTGAAGTATCTTGCTGGAGTTAGAATGGAGATACCATGATACCACAATGGCCATGCAGTGTAACCACCCCAAACTGGTGGGGGTGAGCTGAAATGCACTTTGTTATGCTTCCACTCACAAAAGAAAAACATGGATATTTGATCTAAAATAAACTTATTTTATATATAGGAAAAGGCATCAAGAAAGAACAATAGCAAATATTCTAGGAGACAGCGAAGTGTGTGGACCTCTTAGCAGATGAGAAGCGACTCTGAGAACAAAATGCCTGCTGAACTCTGCACTCGTGTTAAAGATTTACTGCTCAAAAAACAAAAGCATCATAGCTACACATATGACACACCAGAAACCTGAGCCTTCTGAGGTTCATCTATCATGCATTAAATAGTGTATCCCACTCTTTGCTCCAGGCAACAAGGGCTGATTCTCTTTTCACTTTCACAGGTTTAAATCTGCAGGAGCTCACTGAAGTCACATGGAAGGTACACCAGTGTGAAACTCACATGAGACAAGAATCAGAGGCATCTAGTAAATGATAGGCTTGGTTCTCCGCTGCCTTGTACCTTGTGTTATTACTTCTGGACAAAGTGGATATGGTGAGATGCTACCAAATCAGGGTTCTCCACTCATTCCCTAGTAGCACAATGGAGCCCCACTCTTGATTAGTCCCTAGGACTACCAAAATTATCACCAGTAGTGTTGGGAACAGAGACTGTATCTAGGAACAAACAATATAGGCCATACTCACAGGATGGGGGACTCTATCCTGGGAAACAGTGACTCTGAAACAGGTTTGGGGTTTTTTGCTGGATAAACAGCTCCCAGTGCGGCGCTGTGGCCAAAAGAGTTAATGCAATCCTGGAATGCACAAATAGGAATCTTGAGTAGGAGTAAAGAGGTTACTTTCCCGCTGTATTTGGCACTGGTGTGACCGCTGCAAGAATACTGTGTCCAGTTCTGGTGCCCACAAGTCAAGAAGAATTTCGATAAATTGGAGAGGGTTTAGAGAAGAGCCACGAGAATGATTACAGCATTAGAAAACATGCCTTATATTACAGTGCTAGACTCAAGGAGCTCAATCTATTTAGCTTAACAAAGGGAAGCTTAAGGGGCGACTTGATTACAGTCTATAAGTAACAACATGTGGACAAATATTTAATAATTGTCTCTTAAAGTTAGCAGAGAAAGGTCTAACACAATCCAATGGCTGGGAGTTGAAGCCAGACAAACTGAGACTGGAAATAAGGTGTAGATTTTTAACAGTGAGAGTTATCAAAGATTGGAGCCATTTACCCAGGGTCATGGTGGTGGAATTTCTATCACTGACAATTTTAAAATCAAGGTTGGATGTTTCTCTCAAAGATTTGCTCTAGGAATTATTTTGGGAAAGTTCTCTGGCCTGTGCTCTACAGAAGGTCAGACTGGATGACCACAGTGGTCCCTTCTGGCCTTGGTATCTATCTATCTATCTATCTATCTATCTATCTATCTATCAGGATAGATGTGGTGATGGGAATGGGGAGCAATGAGGTGACTGTGGCACCTGTGTTCTATTCCAAGCCACAAGAATGGCTCCTGAAGGAAGATTCCTGCAATGCAAAAAGTGATTTAACTGGAAAAACCACACCATCCCCTCGGGTTGTGCTGGCTGCAATGGAGCCGGGTGGCGAGGACTCTTTTTGAATGGCAATGCTGTCATTCTTCCTACAGAGGGGGGGTGTATGTGTGCTATTTTTAAAAAATGATTCATTACTCCCACTTCTCGCTTCATCTGCCTTTGTTTTCCTCTGCAGTGCAATGTGTCTGATACATGGCGAAATGTGCTGTGCTAATGCCAGCTCGGTGAGCTGTTATCCATTAATGTCAAGGTAAAGACATCTGCAGCGACACCGCAGTGATGTAAACAGGCTCGAGGGGACTCGGATTCAGCTCTACTGGCCTTGTGGAATTATACAAAGGATGGAATTCTTCCCATTGAATCCTTTTCTACAGCTGTCTTCAGTGCAGACTTCTTTTCCTGTGTGTCCTTCCAAACTACTACTAGTCCTTTCTACTCCCTCAGCAGCTCTCTACCTGCCTTATCCATTACAATACCTGGCTCTTTTATAGTATTTGACATCAGAAGATCTCAAAGCACTTTACAAAAGAGGTCCGTATCATTATCTTCATTTTACAGACAGGGAAAATGAGGCATAGAGCAGTGACATAACTTGCCTAAGGTCACCCCGGCCAGTGGCAGAGCTGGCAATAGTACCTAGATCTCCTGAATCCTATTCCAATGCTCTATCCACTAGGCCACCCCACCTTCCTTTGAGTTGTTCAACTCCTACGTGTATATTTATGATTCATCTTTGAAGTGTTCTCACATCTTTTATTTTCACATTAATGTTGTTGTGGGGCCCACCTTTTAGTTTCCTTTAGTACATTTGTTCTGTAGCTACTTCTGTGGAAAACAAGCAATTTCTGCTCCACCTGCTCATAAACACAATGAGAGTGAGAGAACATTGTGTTACAGCACAGGCACTGCCTTAGAAACAGATTACAGTCGCCGGGAAAGCAATGGAGAACTTCAGGGTGAGAGGATTGTCTTTCACCTCCTCGCAAAGCTCTCCGGGGACAAGTTCTGCCTTTAATTACGCTTCCTGCAACACAGCTGACTTCAAGAAGTCAGTGGGATTTCAAGACAGAATGTAATAGCAAAGCACAGAACTAGCTCCTAGCCCTGGAAAAGAAGATGGGGTGGGCAACTTAGAGATTGTGAGCTAAGCAGATGGGCACGGGCAACTGTAGAAGATACACAACCCACATTCACATTCACGGTATGTCTACACTGCACACTAAGCAATGTGGACTCACATTACCAAGCCTGCGCTTGAGCATCCACCCTGCAGTGTAAACCTGGGTTTACAGTTGCTGAACCCAGGTCTCACAGCCCAGCTAACATGTCCATATTGCTCAATGCAGACCTTCTGACTCGGGTATGCTGCTTGACCTCCTGTGTCCATACTGCAAAATTACAGGGTTTGGACCTGTGTCACATTAGGACTCAGGCTATGACCCACCCCCTTCTCAGGTTCCTAGGACCCAGGTTCTGAGTACTTGCTGAGCTCAAGAGTCACACTGAGTTATGTGTGGACGGAAGAGAGGCTTGGACTCAAACCTGAATCAGAAGAGCCAAGACTGAGTGTGCAGTGTAGACATACTCGTGCATGCTCAGCTAGTCATTGGAGTGTGCTCTTAAACAATCAGCCAACTAACAGTGGCTTGAGGGGTTGGTTGGCACTTACATATATATATTTTTAAATTGCAGGTCTGTGTACGTGGCTATCGATATTTGATTGTAACCTCCTTCCTGTTCCCTCTCTCTCTCAAAGGTCGCTTGTCTTCACAGACTGTAAGCTCTCCACATGAGGGATCATGTCTTTGTGCATGTTTGTATAGCAGTGCAGTCCCAAACCTGACTCTTCAATATAAATATTAAATAATAACTTTAGTGCTTAGAATGAATCTGTGCCTTGGTGCTACATTAGCTCGCATAGTTTGGGAGTGCCCCTTTATCAAGAATTTCTGGTATGAGATGGGTCAAAGGATCAATTTGATATCGGATGCTAAATTGGATTCCTCCCCCTTAAGTTTCATTCTTGGATATATTCCTGATACCTGGCAATTACCCTGGTAACAAGGTAGCATGGTTCCAACATGCAGCTTTGGTAGCTAAAAATTAATCCTGCAAAAATGGAAAAGTTCACCCTCTCCATATATTGATGCCTGGCTCAGTGATATGGCAGACCTCACAGCTAATGAATGACTGGTATTCCACAGAAGGGGAATGCCCAAAAAATTCATAGCAATTTGGGCTGACATTTTAGAGGTCTATGATTAACGTAGACCCCTTCTCTCCCTTTATCCGAACCCTCTTAATTTACTTTGTGTATTATGATGAATCTGGTATTTTGGAATATTTGATGTATTTGGAAAAAGTAATAAAAATTATAAATTAAAAAAAAAAGAATGAATCTGTGGACAGGTAAATTTCACTTGTCACTATGCGCATACCATTCAGCCACTTGGAACACCACTGAGGCAGCTGGAATAGATTCAGATCATCCTGTCTAACATGCAGACCCATGGCTAATAGCAGTGTAGGACCTATGACACACAGTTGAGCAGTTCTGAATCCCCAGAGGTCAACAGAAACACATAAAACCACTATCCTGCTAATGTGTGGTTTTTGGATGTCCCATTAAGCTGCCTGCACGTGTTACAAAAGTAGATCTACGCTCTGCCTAAATGAAAGGATTTATCAGGTAACTATCATTCTGCAAAGAGTTCAGGCTTACAGCTGTCTAGTTTCTCTACAGCAGAAGTATTAGGCAGGGTAAGAACTCAGCATTTGTTTCTGTGCCTCTTAACTTATGTCATGCAGCTAGAGAAAAATTGTTCTGAGTTCAAAAGTGAGTGGAGGACAGCTAGCCCACTGTAATCCCCGTTCACTGTCTCAGTGCAGCCATCAGGTGCCTCCTGCTGGCCCCTACCAGCATCGTTGTAGTTCGGGTTTGAAAGCTACTCTGCAGGTTGAAGGTAATGGACACAGGCTGGATGTATACCATCTCATTAGATAGCTTATTCATTCCCACCTGCAACTCCAACCTTCCGTTAATGCCCTTCCTGACAACAGCTGCAGAGTACAATATTTCTGCTGTAGAAGGTCTCTAGGAGTTCAGCTGCATAGAGTGAGGCACTTGGGCCCAGATCCTCAAAGGAATTTAGATGCTTACTCCACTGAGGGTCTGACCCTTGGACTCTAGAAGTAGGATGGAGGCATGGGAACCACTTGCTAAACAGTCCATAGAGAGGTGCTTGGGTCAACAATGGAGGTAGCTCCATAGTTGAGGGTAAGAACCACCTAAAGACCCATTAGTCAAAGGGACTGGGGAAAGAGAAGCCCTGTTTGCATACGTAGGACAAAGAGTCATTAGATAGCACTATGGGCCATATTCTTGTGCAGTGAAAATTGGCACAGCTTAAACAGTACGCTTGATTTACAGCAGCCGAGGATCTGACCCAACATTCTTTCTTTTCCAGAATTATGTTTGGCCAAGTTTTTTCATTGACTTCTGTATTATTGGCAGAATGAAGCGAGGTCGTACATTCAACTTGATTAGAGAGACAAAGCGGGTGAGGTCATATCTTTTATTGGATTGACTTCTTTTGGTGAGAGAGCTGTCTCTATCACCAACAGAAGTTGGTAGAATAAGAGATATTTCCTAACCCACCTTGTCTCTCTCATGTCCTGGGACCCAAGCGGCTACAAGAACGCTGCAAACACTCAACTTGGTGGCATTTCCCTGTCTGTTTGAATGTGATGCAGTAATGTTTGTATCCCATCAATTCCAAATTTTTAAGGAATATTCTAAACATCAATGGGCTGAGCCCTATCGATTTTGGTGAAAATTGGAAAACCGGAAGGAAGAAATAGGGGGACACATGGAGCCTCTGGCATCTGGATGCAGGACCAGGAGCTTCAATCAGTTCTGTAATTGTGTATGTGTCAAAGAATCGATTGATAGCAGCCATTAATATATTCCAGTATTACAATACCCCGCACCTCAACTCTGTCCATTGTCCCAACAGTGTAAAAATATTGACACTGAATGACATCGACCAAACAGAAAGAAATAAGAATTGGGTGGTGGAGAATGAGAGGGCAGAGACTGACCCTGGTATGGGGGGAAGTATATGGGACAGTGGTCTGGGGGAGGGAGACATGGGGGACACACAGAGCCCCTAGCTTGAGGAGGAGAAGTTAGAACAGAGGATATTGGTACGGGGGGCACACACAGAGCCCCTGGCATGGGGGGAGTCCCTGAAATCGAGGGGCATGGTAGGGAACTTGTGGGGACAATGAAGGAATAGGAGCCTCTGCTGTGTGCAATGCTGTCAGCATACAGAAGCTACAAAGTGTGTGACCCTCAAGTTTAGAAGGCAACATACATGCCCCCCATTCTTTTTGACCTGAAGTCTCCAAATTTATCACTTATTTTTCTATAATAGCTCCAGTACAGTAAAATGCTTCTTCATCTGCAGAACTCAAAAGGCTTTACAAAGTCTGGCATGCTTCATATCCATTAATGCGGATGGGAAACTGAGGCACAGAGCAATGTCGTGATTTGACCAAGGTCACCCAGCAGGTCAGTGGCAGAGTTGGAAATGGATCCTTGGTCACCTAACTCCCAGTCTGCTATCCAACCCACTGTACCACACTGATTCCTAATGTGATATTAGGATGTGGGGCCTCATTTCTAAATCTATTAAATAAAATCTGTTTCAAAAGAAGTGTACCTACAGCAGTCGTGGCTTGGGGATGGCATTGTGCCTGCTCCCAAGGACACGAGAACTGTCTCACAAGGAGATAGATGTCACACATTATGGATTTGCATGGGCAGCCTACATAGCTCAGCAAGTGCCATCTTTCTGGAGGAAGTCCCTCCTCTGACGCATTGACACCACCTGTCTCTTTACACTCGATGGCATCTGTTGGCATTTTTTGCGTGCCAAAGCAAAAATATCAGAACAGAGCAGAAAAGGAAGACACCAAGTTCCTGGGTACTTACAGATGCCAAAGTACCAGGCTGCACTGAGGCTGGGGACTGGGAAATCCATTAGGAACCCTTGTGGAGGCACTGGGGACAAGAGACAAGTCATATGCTGGCCTCCACAACCTGTCCGGCAGCCGGAGATGTTACCGTGAAAGCTTAGAGACCAGGGGGTGAAACGCTTTGTCATGGGGAGCAAAGGCAAAAGGACTGCTTGTTAAAAAAGAGAATATTGCACTGGTGGAAGGTGCCAGATGGGCAGTGATGAAATTCTCACTTTGCCTCCAGGAAAGGGTACAGCAAACAAGCTTCCCCTTCACTGCTCAGCCAGCGTGACCTGGGGCCAACCACAAGGAGCCACATGGTCATTCCATCTCCAGGAATTTTTGATCCCTGGCTTCTGGTGGGACTATCTGATGGGGGTGGGGATAGCTCAGTGGTTTGAGCATTGGCCTGCTAAACCCTGGGTAATGAGTTCAATCTTTGAGGGGGCCATTTGGGATCTGGGGCAAAAATTGGGGCTTGGTCCTGCTTTGAGCAGGGGGTTGGACTAGATGACCTCCTGAGGTCCCTTCCAACCCTGATATTCTATGATTCTATGACATAGACATCCATGTACTTAGAAGTGGGCTGAGACCCAAGAAACTCATTTCACACAGGACACTGAACAGCTCTCAGACAGTAACAGCTTTTGGTCAACATTAAAAACAAACTGTAAAAAACTTGGAAACCCTTTTAAAAAAGAAACAAAACCAAAGTACGACAAAGTGAACCTACATTGTGGAAAGCCTGTTCTAATGAATGCACTGAATGTTATTATCCTAGTACTCTTTTTTGTAAAGGATGGGAAGGAGGAGTTCTGAAACCTTAACTGACCCTTCACCCAGAGACTATAACTTGAACCAAACTTGCCTTGCAGGTTCCAGAATGTTTGGCCAACTTTTGTTCTCATTTGTCCCCTGCACTTCCTGGTTTGGATGTGGTTGGGCTTGCTCCAAAACCCACTGAAATCAATAGGAGTTTTTCCACTGACTTCAGCCTTCCTTGCACTAAGCCCTAAGCAGTGACATAACCAGAGAAAAGCTCTTCTCCTGCCATTTCCAGCATGGGTTAGGACTGGAAATTCAGCACCAGGAATCTGAAGAGAACATTGGTTCCCACCAATTTTCCAGGCCACATCCACGGTGCTTGGATAATTCATATGAGTTCCTGATCTTTCTCAACTGAATCTGAGCTCTGAACTTTTTGATGTTCAGCCAATATTAAGGCATTTATTTGTGGTAGGCAGAGGTTTATACCCCTCTCCTCTTTGCCCTCATTTCTATGCCTGGTCCAACCCTTACTTCATAATGGAGGTAGCTCAGCGCTTGTGTCCCCCAGAATACAAGAGGAAGGACTGATGCAAATGGGTGAGCTCCATGGAAGTCTGACCCCCTCCCCCTTCTGCAGGAATTATTTTTCTGGATGAACAGTTTGCAGTATTGCTTGGTGAGCAACTGTGATACTGGAAGGACCCGTGAGTGAGAACTCCACTGTATGATGAACACTTGTTGTGACTCTGCTACTCAAAGTGGCCTTATTCTCCTCTCATTTGTACAGGTTTCACACGAGTATAAGACAATCGACTTCAGTGGAGTTACTCCCACTCTATACCAGTGTAAGGGAGTTCAAAACCAGGCCTATAGATTCATTAGGAATGTTCAGGGTTGGTATAATGGTTTTATCCCCTGCCTTATGATATGGGTGGCGGGTCGACGACGCCTTCAGGGAGGCTAGCCCCGCGGCCCTGCCCCTTCTGCATGAGGCCCTGTCCCCTGTGGCCGGAGCCCTGAGCCTCCCTCCCCCGCAGCCAGCCAGAATCCTGAACCCCCACACTGTCAGAGGAGCCCTGGGCCAGCCCCAGCCGTCCGACCAACCCAAGCAGCCCCAGCCGCGCCATCCGGCCCAGGGCAGAGGCTGCAGCCAAGGAAGGCAGAGCCTTCCCTGGCCTCTTAGACTCACCGCCCATGCCCTCTGAGCCACATTCCCATATCACGTGATGGCAGTGTCACTCCAGCTAATACTACAGATGTTTTCTGCTCTAGAGTCAATAGCATCAAATCAAACATTTTTAACATTTTAAAAGATTTGCTCAAACAGAGAGAAGCAGTTTTCCCAAGTATCTGAGAACCTGGTTTGTTCCATTCTGCCTGCTGTCACTGGCACCAGGCAGGGCTGAATTACACAGACCCAAGGGAAAGTCCCAAATCTTGACTTGAACAATTAGCGGCCTGATAATGTTTTCATTTCCACCACTATTGGTGTGAATTGGTGTCAGAGACATATTTGAACGGTCAGAAACAGCATCA